AGAAAAGGGGTTGAAAGAAAGTAAGTTTTCTAAAGGCCGTTGTGATTGTAGGAGTATCGGCTAAATCTCATGAGAGGGAGTTGCTAGATTCTGCCCTCGGAGGGTTTGTGGTTTTGTTGTCTTTGAATGGCAAGGTCATCTTCACCACTAAGGGTGTAACTACACACACTGGAATTAACCAGGTGATGACACTAAAACTAAATGAATTGCCTGTACTTGGAATCACTTTACTGGCACCTTTAGGAAATCTCGTACGTTTCTCTTCCAGATGGATTTGATCGGGAGGAGTTTGTTTGAGTTCTTGCATCCATGTGATCAGATGGAGGTCAAAGACATTCTCACGAGGCTGATCGGTGAGCACCTCTTGCTAAAAAGATCAGTTTCAACCATATATTTCCATGCTCGTCCAGGCTGGTTTATGATCTGAATGGCTTCTAATATTTCAGGAAACCGAGAACAGCAAGATTGTGAAGTGATCTTCAGAATAAAAAGTCTGATGAACCAGAAGCTGACTCCTTGGAAAGTAAGAATGCATTTGTGCCTTCCCATTGTTTCCAAAAGACCACACAATCGTCATAGTTTTCACATCTTTGACTGTCTGAAGATTATTCAGTGTACTGGAAAGAAAAAGTCACCTGCCACACCTGGATCCAGTTGTCTAGTTCTTCAGTGCAGGGTTTTGCCCATGCAGGAGATAATTGAACTGAATGCAGCGCTGAATAGGAGTACGTTTATGAGCGTACACAGCCCAGACATGAAATTCACCTACTGCCACTCAAGGTATGAGCTTATATATATGCTGCTTACAAGGGCAAAAACCTAAATGCTTTCACCCTCTCTGGGCCGTCTTTACATTTGAAGCTCTGTTTTGGCTCAGGGTTGTGAAGTTGCCCGGCTTTTGTGACACAGAGCTGTTGGGCCAGTCCGTGTACCAGTACTATCATCCATCAGACAGCCAGCAAATCCGCAAGGCTCACGTTTACTGTAAGAGGAATATCTTGTCATCTGTTTTCCACTTTGTATGCTTAATTTGACTGATTTTATTATGCCTTATGTGTTAAATAAAAAAAA